GCGGCGCGATGCAACGCAACGTGTAAAAAGACAGTATAAGTCATTATAATCCATAATCATGTCCCCACTGGATGCAACGAATGCCTCGTTTATAATGGGTTTTCATGTTTTTGAATCTTCGCTCTGGCCGGACAGGGCATCACAATATGGTACCTTGCATTTATATGGCTGGCTAGCATATTCACTTGAGATTCCTGCAGCGCGCTTTCAGAGTTCTCTGAAACTCAACAGCTAGATAAGTAAACGGTTTTCACTCTGATGTCAGTGCATCATTGCGTTCGTCAGATGTACATTTTTAAACTAGAAAACATACAAGTGTAAAACTATGTGCAGGTTATTCGCGTGAGGAGTAATTAAGCATGTCTTGTCATATAACAGCAGTGGCATTAGCAGCAGCAGCAAGCAGTTTTCTTAGTTTATGTATGTGAGAATACAACGTCGAACGTCGCAGATTTTAGAACAGTAAAGTGAATTGGTGATTACCTTATTTGCCCAAAATCTCCAATGCTTTTAATATCTTTCGTGGGCATTCATTTCTACATTAACCGCGAACTGATCGCTTTCAAATGCACACCTCACTTGTGGGGTCAGTTTGCAGTTGTTCACAGTTTTAAGTCAAGGTGAACCCGTATAACTGTCTTTCATAAACGTCATATGTCATACTGTCAACAGCCTTACCTATTTTAATGAGCAACAGAAAATAATATACCTGCTCATACGTGTACTCGTGCCGCATTGCAATGCACTTAGTCAGAAGAGGGAGCGCTCATTCTTAAAGGGGCTCACTTTCACTCGTTACCTTGGTTCAGCGATAGTGAAGAGTTTATTATAAAAGTCATGTTTAGTGATAGTTTAAAGATAATTAATCATGAATTTGTTTAAAATATGAAGATGCTACTAATAATAAATAATTTCCAATCAGTAGCCCATGTACAATGTAGCTAATAGTAGGACACTCTTAAACTGGAATTTACTATTTGTGTATTCAGTTGGGCTTACAGCAAATATAGTACTTTCATAGAGTGTAGCAGCAGTATCATTGAATTCAGATCGAGTTATTAGCAAATTGTTAATAGCAGTATGCATAGCAAATCAAGTCAAATTATCACTGTTTATAGCAGCAGCAGCAGAAAGTGTCTGGTTGCATGAAATTTCAGTGTAGTGTTAATTTCGTTAACGAAGACTATGACGAAAAATGTTCGTTGACCAGCTTTTTTCCCCATGACTAAGACTAGAGGAAGACGAGAGGACAATAAGGTCAATAAACGATAATTAAGACTATATCAACATGCAATTTCGTTGACGAAATAAGACGAGACTAAAATGTATTCAAAAAGATAAAAATTTTTTTTACCAAAAACCTCTTTATTTTCGTCAAAAAAAGGAGACAAAATGTTACTGCAGACTGCTCTACACGCCTCTACCACGTGAGCTTTCATGAGTGCGGTTGCCAGATATCAAGAGTTATAATCCCCGAATCAGAGCTTCGCTGTTACAAGCATACATTTTCTGCCTGGTGTGTTTTGCTTATTTTAAGCAATCTGGCAACCATGCGCACGCCCTCGCTCCTCATTGCAGAAGCGCCGATGATCTGAAAAACAAACAAGCTGGAGTTTAGGATCTAAATGAAAGCGTCATTCAGCCGGTCAGTGTTGTCAAAATTAATACTGCTGTACGGTTAATTAATAATAATCTTATTGCTAAAATGTCAAGTTTTCATTGACTAAAACTAGACTAAAATACTTCAGGTTTTCTTAGACTAAAACGTTGAGACTTTTAGTCGACTAAAACTTGACTAAAACTAAATAGGATAAGGTTGACTAAATATGATAAAAACTAACAAGGACATCTTAGCCCGAAGACTAAGACTAAAATGAAAATAGCTGACGAAATTAACACTATTTCAGTGATAACACATGGGGTAAGTAACTCTTTTAAGTTGAAATAGGCTTTTATAACTTTGTTTATTTACCAGATTTTGTGAACTCTTCAAAGCGAAATAGGCATTATTTGTGTATTTTTCAGTGATAACACATGGGGTAAGTAACTCTTTTAAGTTGAAATAGGCTTTTATAACTTTGTTTATTTACCAGATTTTGTGAACTCTTCAAAGCGAAATAGGCATTATTTGTTTGCGTTTCATTGTTTATTAAAGACGCTTGTATTAATTCTAAGTACTTTCGTGCAGCTGTAGCAGCAGTATGCATAGCTATTCAGATCGCAATTTTTAGCGAACTTAATAGCAGCAGAATGGAATAGCAAATTCACATGCATGTTAGAAATAATATTAACAGCAGTCTGCATAGCAACCAATTATTATTGCTAATATAATTATAATATTAATATTAATAATAATTAATCAACATTTAAAGGTCCCATATTGTCAAAACTGAAATTTCCTGGCTTTTTTCACAATAACTGAGGTCTAGGGGCTATTTAACTACCATATAAGTTTCAAAACTGTCAGTCCACAGTAAAATGCACACAGCCTGCATAAAGTAGCTGTGATTTTTCAAGAACCTTTGTGACTTCCGTAAAAAGTTGACGTCAGAACTACGCAGTCACCGCCTTCAGTCACCACCCCGAGCACCGCCCACAGTCCCACTCTCCTTTTGCCAAACCCCCAGACA